ACCTTTCTGCTGTGCAACATTTTATTTTATTCTATTTTAACTTTTTTGAACTTTTACTTTACTAATTGATCATTGAATTGTTTCTAACGCAGCATTTCGCCTGACGTTTTTGGACATTTGTGTTTTTTTGCGCAGAATCTTTGTGACAATAAAAACATGACTTCTATGTTTACTTTAATGCCCGAAAGGAAAATGTAATGTTTTCAGATCACATCTGTTTTAATGGGATTGTTCATATCTCACGGAGACATTCAGTCGCCCTTTTCTCTGGGAACTACATTTTACAAAGGGAGCCACAAGATAAGCGGATGAAACAGACATAAACCTAATTGGCTCAGGGAGACTGCATCTTTGGTCTATATGAACCTGTCAGACAAAAAGCTGACCTCAGCAGCGTCCTGCTGAAGGTAAAGCGCCCGGAGGGTGAATTCTAGTGTATTTGCAATGTTAGCCAACCATCAGTCGCCTGTGTCTGACTACAAAGGTCTAAAACTGCTGAACTTTTTTATAAGACCAGCACAAGTGCATTAACATACACCGCGGGAGGCTGAGAGAGCTGTTGGTTTAAAAACTTTGTTTTCAATGCTTGTTCCTGAAAAGAAATATAGATAAAAACACATAAAGATTAATAATAAGGGCAAGCACAAAAAAATACTTGTTGTATTTCTGCACTCATAATGTTTTCCAGTTTTCTGTTAAATTATCACAGAAGGATCCTGGAAAACCTCCCTCCTCTCTGAGCTGAACCATCATCTGTCCATGTTTGAACCTGTGCCCAGAGGACTGAGTCTCACAACTTTCATTTTTTACATTTCATTTTTTTTAAGAAAGAAATTAAACATTAACTTTTAACTTCAGATTCATGTTCTCGTGTATTTTACACATTTTTATTTTAAAAACATAAAGTGTGAATTTGCGCTTTTCTGGAGCGCTTCAGCGAGTGCTGCCTTCAGTTATCACTGATATGAAAAGGCCCACGTGGTTTATTATATGTCTACATGTCATACAAATTATCAACGTCATATAAAAAAAACTGCAGTTTTACTTCTACAACCAAAAACCTGCTGATTTGGAGGAAGAGAAGAAGAAAAGATGAAAGTCACTGTGCTTCTGTGGAGAAGCACCGTTACAGTCTTCTCTCTCATACAGGCTCCTCTTGGCTGTCCTGTACTGAAGCTTTAAAACTAGACTGGAAAAGTGTGTTTTCTCATTGTTTTTTTGTTTGTAATACATTTTTATTGGTAAAATTTTATGTAACAGGTGTGTAAATATATAGCATGACTCAGTGAGGAAGAGAAGTAATGTCAATATGAAATGGCTCATTAAAAATGTTCTTTCCGGCCATTGAACCTTCACTCGTTTCCACTCTGGTGCCTCGATTTCCTGTTTTCAGCTCAGTAAAGTCTAAACTCAGAACTTACACAACATTTTCTGATTTGAGGTAAAAATGTCTGAATGTAATGCAGAATTTAGCAGCAGAGTGTATGTGGGACTTTTGACTGTTTCAGCTGTTTCTGTTGATTTTATTTAAAAAAAAAAAAAAAAGGAATGGATGACTTTTAGTTTAGGGTGAGGTCTGCAATAAACACCTGGATGCTCTCATGACCCAACGTGTCTGCTCACCCACCGTGTCTTGTCTTTCTCAAATAGAAAAATTTGATTTGGACACAGAAAAAGCTCAAAGATGGATTTTAGATTTTATGTAAAATCACCACAAACCTGTGATTTGGGCTCAGTGGGAATAAATCAAATATACTTTACCTTTTGTCTACTGCGAGGTGAGAACACACTTGCTTTAAGTTGACATATTTTCTTTCAAACTTATTTTTGCTTTAAATGTCTTGTAGCTACAAGCATTCTTCTTAAAAATGGCATTTGCACATGAATAAAATCTCTCATATGTACTTCTTCCTGTTTGTCTCTACGTGAGGGATGTGGAGGAACCCTGCAGGCAAAGCCAGCTCATATGAGCTTCTCTGTACCTCATTTTATGAACGAACAGAGAACATCTACCAAACCTTCTGACTCAGTCTGACTTATTTCTGCCAGAAATCTGAAAATAACAGAGATAAATACATTTTTACATAAAAAACAGTGAATTGTCCTTCCTGTAGACAGCTGCCAAAGTGAACATACGAAACAAACAAAGAACAAAAAAGTAAAAACAACAAGTTAAATACAACTATTATCATCATCATTTATTTATTTATATAGCACTTTAAAAACACACCTGGTAGACCAAAGTGCTGTACAATACTAATATGCACATAGTAATAAAACCAGACATAGCAATAAAAAAAAAAATCAGTTACCCACAGAGTTAAAAGCCAGAGAATAAAAATTGGTTTTTAATAAAGACTTAAAAACTAAGCTTGGGTAGATAAGCCTATTTCCAATAATGTCTGGCGATCATAAAACAATGCAGGGCTGACATGTTGCACAAAATTGACTAAAAACAATAAAATAAAACAAATAGAAGAGAGCGACAGACGGCATCTTCCTTTCTCTGTTCATGACAAAATGCATTAGCAAAAAGGAACAAAGGTATTATTATTATTTATATATTAGTTTATTATTTATTAGTTTTTAACCACAAATAGTCACAGAATTGTATATTTTGATGATGTTGTATACGGATTAGTTAATTTTCTTTGCATTAATAATGGCTCTGTTATTTTACCCTCATTAATGTGTGCTTCATACAGAATTTCAGTTATGAGGATAAAAATTAAACATGTGTTGTATGTGTAAAAGCTGGACAAAGGTGAGCAGTTATAATCATAAGACTGATTTTCAAGAACAAGGGTGACGTGCAGAGTTTTAGTAACTACAGAAAGGTAAAGCTGATGAGTCATCGTGAGTTGCTGAAACTAGAAGCTAAGGAGAGATGTGATGTTCAGTGAGCAGCAGAGCAGCTTCATGCTGAGAAAGAGCACTACAGACGGGATGTTTGCTTTGAGAGGTCAGACGGAGCTGCACTGTAAGTTTGTGGAGCTTGAGAAAGCAAATGATAAGGTGCCAAGAGAGGAACTGTGTCTGCGAGGGTGCTGCAGGACACGTATGAGGACTGTGAGACAGTGGTGAGGTGTGCAGTAGGAGTTGGGTTTAAGGTGGGGGCGGGATTACATCAGGGAGAAGATCTGAGTCTTTCTTGTTTGCTGTGGTGATGGACGGGCCGGCAGATGAAATCAGGCAGGAGTCTCTGTGGACTGTGATGTTTCCGCACAGCATTGTGATCTGCAGTGAGACTGAAGGCAGGTGGAAGGGAGTCTGGAGAGGACCTCAGAGGAAGTTCACGACTGTAGTGAAGAATAACATGTAGAGGGTTGGTGCAGTTCTAAGGATAGATGACAGCCTCACCTCTCAGACGTTTACACCAGCAGATGTAAGGAAAGAACAACCTGCATCATGACAGACTCCACCCACCTTACACACGGCCCTCCCCTCAGGCCGGAGGCTGTGCAGTATCTGGTCCAGCAGGCTGAAGAATAGCTCTCAATACTCACAATTAGCATTATGCACTTTTAATGGACTTATTGATTAAGCCATTATTATTATTATTATAGTTATTATAATTGTTATTATTATTTGAATTAGGTCATTACTTATTTCTAACATTCTAACCTATGAGAACTCAGACCTGAGTAATTCTCTGTCATGTTTCTTCATTATGAGTGACAATAAAGAACTTTGAACCGTGAAACTGTATTGTTCAGTTTTATTTTAATACTCTTCAAAGTATTCTCCGTTTGTCTGCTACGTCAGATTTATTCTTGTGTCTGTGTTCCCTTTATTGAAATTCATAAGAAGATGAAAGTGATAAGATACTGTGACGATCACAAACATTTTGTCCCCAGAGCCTCATAGGTAGTTAGGATGGTTTTAAACTGACAGAAGGTCTAAGGAGCTTGGAAAGAAAAGCGTCTTCTTTAAGTTGCTTGAAGACGTTTCACCTCTCATCCGAGAAGCTTTAGGGTCAAATGGTGGAGAGTCCCACATTTAAACCCTGTGGGGGTGTCTCCCCCCAAGAGGGACATGGACCCCCTAATGATCATCTACCTAATCACATGAGCCAAGGTGTGAACACGGGTGTGGGTCACAGTCAGCCAGGGTTTCGGGTGAGCTCATTGTGAAACCTGGCCCCACCCTATCATGTGATTTCCTGAGGTCAGATGGCCCAGGATGTGAGTGGGCGTTAAGGCGTCTGGGAAGGGATCTCAAAACTGGATTATAGATGGCAGACAGTTGGTGTCGTAAACCCGCCTCTGTTCAAAGATGGTCGCTCACAGTGGACATAAATGGCTTCTTTCACTCCTCTTTCAAACCATCTGTCCTCTCTGTCCAAAATGTGAACATTGGCATCCTCGAAAGAGTGACCTTTGACCTTTAGATACAGATGGACTGCTGAGTCTTGTCCCTCGGAGGTGAGAATTATACTTGGAACAATTTGGTGAATTTTAACTATATAAAATTGATTCAGTCCTTGTGAGTACAGCCATAAGGCAGAAATATGTCGACATACATTAATTACTATTTTCTGTTCCTTTTTTTCTATGCACGGATAATATTTACACTAAAAGATTAAAAAAATCGAAAATATCCACAGAATATGTGACATATTAGGTCCACATGAAAAAATATTTACAGCCCCGTCTTTTTAGAAGTATTATGCAATTATTGAATAATTATTATCTACATATCCATGCTTGAAAAATATTAAACACATGTCAGTGTGCTACATACTGAACCTACATGACAGAAACAGAGTATCGATACTATCACTCGTCTCGATACTATTGATATTTGGATAGACCCGCCCACCTCTACTCATTTAATCAAGTAACATTGTTATGTTGTTTGGATTTCATTCACGGCGATTGTTTTTAAAAGGCCAGCTTTGAGACAAATCTCATCCATAATCTCTCTGAGTCAGAGTATAAACCCGGTACAGCCAGAGCTAAAACTGCCCTCGCTGCTGCAGAGCCCCTCCGGGCCTGTAGGGGGCATTTTCAGAAGACTAGCCTGTCGACATGTAGCTGAGGAAGAAAGGCAGCATGTAGTAGTGTAGCAGGACCTTCAGTGTTTTTACGAACTTAGTAAAAAATGTCGCTCTTCTTTCATTTAGTTATATAATTTACACAGGACAGTCAGACACTCGTTATCGGTCTCAAGGTGAGTCTTTCTTGCTGCATACGTGATATCGCGTGCAAACTGAAGAAGGTCATTTTCACATTAGCTCCCAAGCTAACCTGCTAGCATCCATGTATCTGTCAGGGACATCAGCACTGTGAAACAGCTATCAGTCCTCTGTATTTGTGTAATAACCCGTGGCTTTTCCGGCTGGATAAACCCTACAACCTGTATATAATTACTGAGGTTAAACAACTTGTTCTCGGATATGAAACAACCTGCTACCTAAAAAGCATCTGTGCTGATGGTTCACCCCCTTCACTCAGGTTTAATAAGCAGCATAGCATGGAGGAAGCGCATTATAAGTGCGTGTAAATGTGCTGAAGTGTTACCACAGAAAATATCAAAGAGTAAAAACGACAGTGTTGCGTGAACATACTTTCTTTTCTGTGAAAAGTATCATATAATTGAAAAAACTGGGAAATGTATTAAAAATATCTCCATGTAAACACACAGATTTTTCCTACAGTGGCCAGTAAAGAAGAACGAGTACTCTGTGATGAGGATGTTTCTTCAGTGCTCGTTTTGTTTAACTAGCAGTCAAAAACTCCAAACTTAGCTGTCATATAAGCCGTGAAAAGGGAAAAAAATCTCACATTTGAGGATTTGCAGTTATTACGTGGCACTGTGGGCTAAATAGCGAGGTGAGGTAACTTATCCAGCTTCAACTGATTGTGCTATCATTTCTCTTTGAATAGCAGCACATGTGTATGCACCATGGAGCCTGTAATGCTTCAGGTTTGGCAGAGAGCCTTTCGCCGCCTGCACAGGACCCTGATCCTTCCGAAGAGGTTAGACTCAGGCTGTGCTGAGCAGGCAGCCGTCCCTGCTTCTGCGCCCTCCTATGGTAGCAAGCCCGTACTCCTGGTGTCTCGTCTCTACCAGCCTTCGAACTTGCGTGATGTGGCGCTGGACAGCCGGCTGCCAGGGGAGATGAGCTGCAAGAGCCAGAGGCTCATGCAGCAGGCTGGGCTTATTCATCCATCCAGCCCAGGGTGCTACTACTACCTTCCTGCCACCGTCCGCTCCATGGAGAAGCTGGTGAGATGAGGCCTTATCTTCTTATAGGAGTGATAATAATAATAAAGTAATATTCATGGTTGGTTTTGTCCTGCCAACTAACAGAACTGATACTATTTTCTTTGTTTAGATTTTTTTTATACCATGTATACATTTTTATTTTGTTCATTTATCCTGAGGTGTGCAAATGTTCCTTTAGGTCTTATAATATATTAGGGGTGCAACGATACACAAAATTCACGGTTCGGTTCGATACTTTGGTGTCACGGTTCGATATTTTTTCGATACAAAAAAAATGTTCATGCCTTTTTAATTTGTCATTTATTAAAATTATAAATATATATTTTAACTCAAAAGTACAGTTTTTAAATTTAACCCTAACCCTTGTGCGTGTTTTTTATTTTGACAGCGAATGCGCACCTGCGGACCACTTATGTGCAGCCCTGGTTATTTAGCTCGATCATATTGCAGCCACAGAAATTTTTTGTCCATGAAACCATAAAGCTGCACTTTCTTTTTGCCTTATAGTCTGATTTGTCATAACTTCTCCGTTTTGTGGTAAGCTTTTCTTTGGCTGTCACTTCTTCACCCTGACCTGTCTTATTTGGCTCAGCAGAACTGAAATGCTTTTACACACGCACTCACATAAGCTCAGCGATTCTCTGCGCGATCAACCTCTCACATGTTTAAGCTGCGGGAGATTTCACTTGTCATGTTTGCATAGTAAGCTAACGATTAATAAGACGATGTCAGAGGAATTGGTGCACAAATTATCATCACTCACAGATCAGTGCTGTCGCTCTCTATACACAGTTCGCACGATTGCAAAGTGAAAGCAAAAAAACAAGCGCAAATTCAAACACGACTTCAATATGTCACATATTGACAGTGGCTCACCGATGCCAATGACATAATTACCCAGCTACATTTCTGAAAGAATGCAAAAGCATTGACATATATTTTCTTCCTACAATAGCCCGACGGGCAGGGCAGAGATAGATTTTGGTAGCCCGACTGGAAAAAATCGCTAGCCCGGGACGTCGGGCTAGCGATATTGCGAGCCCTGTATCTGATTGAGGAATCACTCATCTTTGGAAAAGAGAGTTTATTACAGAGAAATGTCTCTTTCCAAAATAAAAGCTATACTATCCGCTTCTTCTGGGCTATATTCTCAGCAGCATAAGGAGAATCATGTGCTAACAGCTGTCTAAATGACTCGGCTAAAGTTAGTAGCATGCTTGTTGTTTTTGTCTTTGCACTAGGATGATGTCGGCGTAAATGTGCAGTCATATTCGTTGTGTTCCCACTAGTGCTTTCAGGTTAATCTCGTTGAAATGACCTTAACGCCACAACACGGCAAATCTCCGTTAACGAGCTACCGCCGATCGCCCCGTGCATGGGGCTAGACGGCCAACACGTTAACGAGCTAACTGCGCTAACACACTAGTTCCCACCCATGTAATTGAGCATTGCATGGCACATCCAACATACTGTTTTACTTTAGTCCATGACTCGCTTACCTTCAGGGTCATACGTCACATGAAAACCAAAATAATTCCAAACGCCAGATCTGAAGAGTGAGGTTCAATTTGCCTGTTGCAAGGAGAGCTTAACTTCTGTCTCGCTAGCTTGCCCTGCGCTCTTCCTTCTGACTATGCTGTCTGTGTGGAGCGCTCAGTGGATCTGCGCTCGACAGTGCAGCCTAGGCGGAGTAGTCGAACACAGATTCACTGAGCGCTCAACACAGACAGCATCGTCAGAAGGAAAGTTGATAAAATAAATTACAAATGTTGTATTGTTCGATACATATGCGTACCGAACCGAAAGCACTGTATCGAACGGTTCAATATCGATACGAATATCGTTGCACCCCTAATATAAAAATATATAGATAATAATATATAATCATTATATATATATGTTTTATTTTTATTTTATTTTATTATATATATAATATAATATATATAACAACACGCTCAATATTTTGCTTTACGACAGCTTCAGAATGACAGACATCCTCTTACATGGCATCTATCAAAGCAGTAGTATATTTGCCACAGGCTCTAAATATGTTTAGGCTGTGAACGTTGTCCAGACAGTCTCTTTTCCCTCTTAGATTATTGTGGATTATACGATTATAAAACCTAATTAATCACATAGATTATGTGATTATGTAAACGAATATATTAGATTAGATGTTTATTGGGCTAAAATGATAAAGTTAAACAGTAGCTCTTGACTAAAGGGAAAAGAGTAGAGAAATGCCTTTTTTTCTAGTTTCCTATCAATTTTTGCGTGACTGCTGATGTTTATCGTCCAACCTCCTGATTTGCACTGCTGTCTTTGATCAACAGGTGAGAGTGATCGACCAGGAGATGCAGGGGATTGGTGGGCAGAAGCTGGACATGCCCAGTTTGTGCTCGGCCGACCTCTGGAAAACCAGTGAGCGCTGGGATTTGATGGGAAAGGAGCTGTTCCGCCTGAAAGACCGGCACGGCGCTGACTACTGCCTGGGTCCCACTCACGAGGAGGCAGTGACGACTCTCGTCGCTCACCAGGCGACTCTCTCCTACAGACAGCTCCCACTGCTTCTTTACCAAGTAAGCATTCAGCCTGTTCTTACTGCCACTGTTTTTCCTGTAACAAGCTGCAGTTTGTTTGTTTTTTCTGAAATGATTTATTTTGAAAACCCCCCAAAAAACAGATCACCCGCAAATTCAGAGACGAGCCAAAGCCGAAGTTTGGCCTTCTCCGAGGGAGGGAGTTTTACATGAAGGACATGTACTCCTTTGACGTGAGCGAAGAAGCCGCTCATCAGACGTACGAGTCTGTGTGCCAAGCGTATACTCGGCTCTTCGCCAGGTTGGGTCTGCGTTGCGTTCAGGTGCAGGCGGACACTGGAAACATCGGCGGTAAACTGTCCCATGAGTTCCAGCTGCCGGCGGACATCGGCGAGGATCGGCTTCTGGTCTGTGGGAGCTGCTCCTTCTCCGCCAATGTGGAGACCATGTCATCAGACCAGTCCAACTGTCCACAGTGTGAAACTGGGAAACTGGTAGAGTCAAAGGGTATAGAAGTAGGCCACACGTTTTACTTGGGTAAGAAGTACTCTCACATATTCAAAGCCACCTTCAGCAATGCCCAGAACAAGCCGGCTGTCGCTGACATGGGCTGCTACGGCCTCGGGGTTACGCGAATTCTGGCTGCAGCAGTCGAGGTGATGTCAACAGAAGAGGGGATCCGCTGGCCGGGGCTTATCGCTCCTTATCAGGTTTGCGTTTTACCCCCTAAGAAGGGCAGTAAGGTGGATGAGGCAACACTCCAAGCTGAGGAACTGGTCCAAGCTTTGGGAGAAACTCTGCCTCACCTGAGAGGTGAAGTTGTTTTGGATGACCGCACACAGATGACAATCGGAAAGAGGCTGAAGGATGCCAGCAAACTGGGTTATCCATATGTTATTGTAGTAGGACAGGGAGCTCTGGAGGAAACACCCAGGTTTGAGGTGATCTGTCAGCAGACAGGTGAGACTGTCTTCCTCAGTAGAGATGGACTGTTAGATCTACTGGGAAGAGTGGAAACTATATAAGTAACAAGTATGAATGTTAGAATAAATGTTTCAGTTTGTGTGTGTGAGGTGGTGGGCATAGATTATTCCATGTTTTCCAAAGCCTGTAATTTACACATTCAATAAACAATTTTTAAACAATAGCTCTGTGATGTACCTGACCTGCATTGTACACTACAATGTAATGGAGTCCACAGCTTAATTTTGTTTTTTACAGTAAGTCGTGTAATAATCCTGATAAAAACTTAATCTGTACCTGGACAAATCAGTGCTGGTTACAACCAAATTATGAATGTCGCAAAAAAGTGAGACAGCAAAGAAAAGCAAAGTTGGTAGAAACATTCCCACTGTTTAGTAGTATTTATAGTGGTATCCTACAATGCAGATATCCTTTGTAAGTAGGCCAGTATACAGCATGAAGTGCATGAGAATTTGTCACAACATGAATGTAATATAACACTGATCTCACACCAGATTGGGAGTGAGTCCTTGAAAAATTAAAATAAATGCAAGTTGTTTATTTTTTTTTTAGCACAAAAATAGTTATCCCAGTGCATGTTGTAAAGCAAGGACCTCAAAATGTGGACAAAAAGCCAAGAGTTAGGCTACACTGCTGGCAGTGTTAGCGTTGCTTTCCATGGTGCACACAAGTAAAGCTGAAATAATTAACGGGATAATTAGAAAAGAAACTGCCACCTATTTTTAAATACGTGGCAGTGCTTTGAGAGCCTTACTTCTGCCGTCGGAGCTTCGTACCGCGAGGAGTGGAACGCTCTGCCGGAAGTGAGTTTCCACACGGATTCTTTCGCATGTGGCACCGCTGTTACACATGTGTAAACAAGGCAACTTGAGGAACGGTTAGCTGGACAAACTGCTGTCAGCATTAATATAAGATTTAAAAACAAGAACAAGCTTTTTAAAGTACATTTTGATCCAAAATGGCGTCCACAGTACACAGTGACAGCGACGATGGCTTGGACGCGTTCATGGACAAATTCAAGACCCAGCGGTATAAAAATGCCTTCAGTGAAAACGACTGGGAGGAGGTAAGGTTGGCTTGCGGAGACTATGTGCACTAGATAGAAAGCCACTTGAACCTGAATAAAATGTGTTAGCACGTCTTTGTTCTTATGTTGGTGGTTAGCAACAAGATGCTAACATGCTCAGTATCTCGTGAAGATATCGAAAAATAGCATCAGTACCAGTGCTGATATCGGATCGATACTAGCGCGATAGAATCGATACTTTGCTTCTGTTTTCCACCTTCAGTTTGTAGCCCAATGAATTGTGTCTGAACCTTTCTGTGCTGACTGTCACATCTATTTTATTTATAGCCCACAGACACATTTAGATTCCAGCCCCCCCACCCCCAAAGAAAAAAATCAGTTTCAAAATACATGAAGCTGAAAGGTAAAAATCACAGTGATTATTAAAACGTGTTCAGAGCTTACAAATTAATAATGGTTAATCTCCGACTCTGTATGCTGCCCTCAGAGGTTAAAAGTATTAAAGTGTCCATATTGGTATCGGCATTACCGGCCGTGGCTTTACTTGTATCAGGTAATACCAAAATGTACTGCTGTCTCACGCAGGAGTTTAATAAAATACCCATGTTCATGAAAAACGCCCCCGAAGAGATCGACCCACAGAAATACCCAGAACTAGCCTGCCTCCAGTCCATTATCCACGACGAAGACCGGCCTCCTGAAGGTGTGCGAACCACAGCTTTCTCTCCTCCAAGGCTTTGAATGTATTCGTGAAAACAGCTGAATAAATGTGAGAAATGTGTTCTTTTCCAGAACAAGCAAAAAGCCTGAAAGATGAAGGCAATGCCTATTTCAAAGAGAAGAACTACCAAAAAGCGGTGGTGGCCTACACAGCGGGTTTGAAGAAGAAATGTGCAGACCAGGACCTCAATGCTGTCCTCCTCACCAACCGTGCAGCATCACACTTTTACCTTGGTAAAAAACAGCATCCAAATGTCCTTTTGCTCTCACAAAAGATGACATTGTTTAAAAAAAATATGTCTGGGTTTTTCTTTTTTCCGTGACTCAGGAAATATGCGCTCTGCTTTGAATGATGCTGCAGCTGCAAAGAAGCTCAAGCCAGACCACCTGAAAGCCTTGATCAGAGGTGGGTAATGTTTTTAACATGTACTGCTATGATATGATGACATTGTGTTACTAGGCATGGAAATCTAGTGCTTGTTTCAGTTTAGATGCTCCAGATTTCTGTCGGTTATAGCTCTTAGAAAGCAAATGAATCCCATGTTTGTGCTTCTGCAGGCGCTCAGTGTTGTATAGAGCTGCGCCACTTTTCAGAGGCCATCCAGTGGTGTGAGGAGGGGCTCAAGGTTCATCCTACTGACAAAAAGCTGCGGGAGCTGAGAGCAGCGGCAGATAAGCACAAAGTAACTACACTTCAGATGATCCTTGTCTTTTTATATATTATTTTTAGAAGTGGTGAAATCTTTAAAGCGCTGAAATAAACCTTGATTTGTTTTTGGTATCGAAGAGAGCAGCAGAGAGAGATGCCAGGAAGGCCAAGGCTAAAGAAAAGAAGTTGCATGGTGAGAAAGAAGCTCTTCTGAATGCCATAAAGGTAAGCATTAGAGATGGAGCATCTAACGTCGCTCACACGTCACACACATATTTGTATTTGACACTAATTGGCAGCTACCTGCCCCGGCCGCTGCTGCAGATTTATAGTTAGAAACCAGAAGTCCAGATGCTGCCACAGCCCTGCTGGAGGCGCCTAGCTATCAAGTCCAAACCCAGCCACAGGCTCGTAGTTAATGGGCCCATCACTGGATGATGCGTTACCAGCGCAGGTCTCATCTTCACCCTGGGCCAGGGCAACCGCCACAAACCATCCGATTCTGCAAGGAGCTTAAGTCAAGAGGCTGACCCCACATATTAGAAGATGCATCTTAAACTGCCTTCACTATCTAAGTGAAAAATAAACACAGAGAACGAAATTATATCAGTTATGATTTTGGCGTCTATACACAGGATCGAGGCATCAAACTCGTGCAGCCTGCGAGGGCTCAGCGGAGCGGTTCCGACAGTGAAGATGAGGACGAACGCTCTCCTGCGGCGATAGCAGAGCTCAGCCTGGATGGCCTCAGCTCTCAGGAGGTCACCGGGGCTCAGGTCTTCGTAGATGAGCAGGGCTCTCTGCAGTGGCCCGTTCTCTTTCTCTACCCCGAACATCAGCAGAGTGACTTCATCTCGGCTTTCTGTGAAAACAGCTGGTAAACGACTCCTGCCCTCAGTGACCAAGATTGTGCTAAATTTATATACAAATATCACTGATGATCGTTTTGATTATACATTCCTCCACTCTTTGATCTGTGACCTGTTTCAGATATCGTTTGACTAAAGTAAGACACGAGATGTAACTTTTATTAGAGCAGCATAAACGACAATAGCCAGTTTGTGTAATGTAAATGCCAACTGTGACCACTGGGAGTCACTGTTGAGCAAAAGGGACACAAAATATTTTTAAAAGGTTTTTAAAGAATGACTCTTTTATGTAGGACAGTAAATTGAAGCAGTAAAGTGTGGAGAATAGTCACTCTTGCATCTCTCAGCTTCACAGACCACCTGGGAGTCATGTTTGAAGAACTTCCACCCTGGGACGCGGACAGAAAATACCTCCCACAAAATCTGCAGGTCTGTATGCTGGGCTTACAGGTGGGGGGGGTGGGGGTGTTATTTTATGAGAACAGAGATCAATTAAAGTGATGATCAAACTTGTATAAAGCCTTTTAGTGGCTCCAGGTGGAGCCGAGTGAAGACTGGTTGGCTGTTTCAGATTGAAAATGGGGAAATGTGTTTGGCTTCAGTCATCAAACTTTTCCCACAAATAACTGATGTTGTCTTTCACAGCTTTACTTTGAGGACGAGGAGAAGGAGACACTTTACCGAGTCGACCCAGAGATGTCACTTTTGAAAATACTGCAACACAAAAGGTAGATTTAATAATTTATTCTGCTGATGAGTGGTTTCAGTTTCATTTACACGATGGTCACTAAGAGCACTCCTCAAGACAAGTTCTCTTTATAATGCTCCTTTTATTAGGTGCTGCTGTGAGTTCCTTGTTATAGATGACTTCCTTCCTTATGTCAGATTTAAATGTATACCTGAGGGGTTATTAACTGTTAGAGAATTTACTTGTACCATTGTTTTCCAGCGTTGCTTGTTGTAACTTTCCTTCATGCTGGTTTCCTGATTGAATCTCTTCTGTTTTGCCAACAGGTATTTTGTGAAGGCGGGCACGCCCAGCTTCATCGTTTTAGTAAAAGGCTCTTCATACTGCAAGCAGTTTTTATCAGGAAGGAAAATACACGGACTGTAAGGAAAGGCAGAGCTTCAACTCACGCACATGAAATCCTCTGACATTCTCAATAACTGACTCATCAAACGTCACTGAAAATAAAACATGAGGTTTTGTAACATGAACTGTTTACACTCTTTATTTCTTTCTGTGAAAAACGGGCGAGTGTTGAAGTGTGTGAATTATTGCGCAACAGTCATCTCATCTATATATTCTAAGGTAGGACCCTTCGTAGCATTAGAGAGAAAACAATCAGAAGATCCCCTTTGAGCAATCACTGCTGTTAGTCCAGTAGTCACACAACTGGCATAGTAACTCCAACTTTAATGGTCGCCTTCTTTCGTACAACCACAGAAAAAAACTGACCCTCCAAAACTCTTTTACTGCCCCTTTCCCGCCTGCACGTAGCCATGCCCCCCCCCCCCCCGCCCCCCCCCCCCCCCCCCCCCCCCCCCCCCCCACCCCCCCCCCCCCCCCCCCCTCACTAGACATTTGCACAGTAGGACACATCTTATATGATATATAATATGATCTCTCTGCTCCCTGTCAGCACTCTCACTGCAGCAGTTTGCTTTTCCTGATTTTGGTTTCAAATCCTTCAGATTTCATTTTTGAGTCTGAATGTTTTCTGTCTTCTACATCAGGCCAACATTTTTGCAGCACTCCTTCCAAAATCAGTAAGATTTTGATCAAAGAATTCAACTTCTTGGTGTCTTCGAGTTTTCATTTTTTGACATTTGTGAAAAAGGTTTAGATTAATAATAATAATAATAATAATAATAATAATATAGTTTAGTAATAATAGTTTATAGTTTAGATTTTGCTCCCAGCTGTATAACCCTATTGTTGCAGCCCTACCAGCCACAGCGCCGCCTCAGACCCTCAGGCAGGCTCTTTTAGCTTTACATGTTTTACTTATGTGAAGCATTCACTTAAGTGTTTTTCACAATGGCTAAAATAATAAACTGGTGTTAAACAATCTTTTCCAGCTTGGAAGCCACGCCTCCTGTGACACTGCTGTGTTACAGTGGATAAGTCGGCCATGTGTGAGATCTCTGAAGCTGTTTGCATTGATAGTGTGATTTGATAAGCTCTTTATCTGCACACAGTTTCCAGGTCAAATTAAGCCCATGCTTTCTGTTTTGTAGGACATCACGTTCAAGCTGACAGAGATTCATTCATTCATTCATAAATGTCTTGGATTTCATATTTTTATTGATGAAAAAACACTTTACATCAGTTTTAGCATCAGAGCAGATCTAACACCACGTTTAGCTCTCTACATGCAACTATGTTTTTCTCATTAGCAGAAAAATTAAAGACTAAAATTCAATCCTCTGTATTATTACTGAAGCTATGCAGTGACTAATCTAAAAAGGCGACTCATGCATTTAACTAAGATTAATTGAAGCTGATAGAAATATTTAACGATACTCTCAATTCAAAATGACTTCATTGTCTCGTATCACTGATAGAAACATCAACACAAACTCAGATTTCGTCACTGTGTGATCACAGTGACTGCTGGTTGAGCCATATAAGCAGCTGGCACTGGTTGTACAGGCATCATCATCATGGGTGCCTGCATGACTGGAAAAGGCTGCATGTTCACAATGTTGTTATTCTGTATGTTGATGACAGTGGGGGCTTGCTTACGATGCTTTAACTCACGATGCATCTGACACCAGGAGCACGTGGCGCAGAAACTGGAAATTACAATATCGTTAAGGAGAGAGCCCTGCAGAGAGACGGTACAACCATTATTTCTTTCTTTCTCCTTTTCTGCTTCATGATATTGTCTCATTGTCACTGCTTCATACCTTGATGCCATATCTGTTTCGCATGGCAGCCCTTATAGATAAAACTGCAGGAGGTGGACAAGTAGGGATCCCATAGAATGAAGGAGCAAACATTAAATCAAATAAAGGGAGAAGATTGTTCTCTCCAAACCTTCCTGCGACAGTTAGGGTGAGGCAGGGGCCGCACCAAAAACCATAGCAGCCTGAAAAACAGAAATACATCACCAAAGTGTTAACATGTCTGAAGTGCCTAAGACCCCAGAAATGACAAGAAAAAGATCTTAGAGTTCATCTTACAAGTACTCGCGTCCTCAAAGCAATCCAAGAGACCACTGTCCCAGTCTATCAAGGGTTTTTCTGCCATTGTGTGTTGAAGTTCAGCCACAGACACTAAATAATTACTCTGTAAAAGTAGAATGAAGTAGAGAAAACCCAAATAAAACAACTGCAATTTAAAGTCAGCTTCGTCTTCATCTTTGTCTTCTTTCAGCTGAGACAGAAGGCTAAAGAAAGATTCCTTGCATTTGACTTTGTTGATGTTTTTAATATTGTACTGTTAAATGTTTGATCACGATTATAAGTATACTGTTTTATCAAGATTACAGAATTGAATCTGTTTCCAGGAAATGGAGTAACATATAGGATGGAGGGAAACATGCAAACAACTTGCAAATGATATAAAAAGAGAGCACATGAAAACATGAAATGTGGACAAAGAAGTTGCTAGTTTTCCATGAATACTGTTGTAAAAAAACAGGAACATGTTACACATGTTGTTGTTTAGGGTACATCACTTGTGAATCGGGACATGTTATATATCGCTACTTTGACATAGTCCGATTGATTGCAAGGCTAATTTATGACGTTTTTATATTTCTGTTTAACCCTTTCAGGCACAGTGTCACTACAGTGGTCAGCTATTGATGGTACACTTCAACATAAACCACTACATTGGACACTGATGTGTAACTCCGTACCCTGCCGCACACTGGTCAACCAGTTGTCCACCTAAGTGGAGATGTTAAACTCTTCTGAAAAGTACATGTTTTAAAAAAGCGAAGATCAAAAATCTATTTTTTCATGTCTAAAGATGAATAAAAATACTTAAGAAAAAGAAATCCAGATTGACACTGTCACTATTCATGCATGAAAGGGTTAAGTTTCTATTGTATATTCACCCTCCATCCATAATAAAGAAAACTGAAAC